TAAACACACATTGGTGTGAAGTCCCAGCCATATGTTGACCCTGTCCTCATTGTCTCATGGTGATAAGAGATTAGCCTAACCGATGGCCGCTCACTGCTTGCCTCGCGCAGAGAGCTTTTCACACTGTGCGGAAGGCAAAAACAAGCAACTAGTATAAAAAAAAAAGTAGGCAGGCTACTACAAACTAAAAGGAAATTATCTGACAGATTGCGTACCCCCACCACCTCCCCAACGAAAACAATAAAATATCAATGTAAAATGAAAGACCTACCAAATTTTGGATGAACTAAAAGGTAATTATTTGAACTGAAAGGTAATTATTTGACATATTTTTTAGTTCAGTTTTAGTTTTAGTAGAGGTTTTACGGCGCTCGCAACTGCATAAGGTCATATGAGGGCCGGAAGATTAGATCTAGAGGTGTTACAAGAGAGTAACAAACATAAAAAAGAAGGAGAGATAAGGACGATAGATGTTTCATAGGAAAGAAGAAGCAAACCACACCGAGCACCCGCCAACCACCCACCTGACAGATTTTGTTACCACCCAAAACGAAAACAAAAGACAGCAATACATGAAATTATAACATGAACGATTTATCAAATTATGGATGAAGCATCAGCTATAATCTAAGTAAAAAGCGCCAAAATACGTGTAGTTTCGACCGTCTTTTGATATGCCAGTGTAAAAAGAGGAAAACTAAACATTCCAACAGATCCCCCACAGCAAAGTATGTAATAATATACACAATTTTTTGGGAAAAAACTATCTTCAACCTTTTAGGCAGAAAAGATAACAAACAAATTCACCCGTATTCTGACACGTCGTTTCTAACATACATAAAGATTTTCGACGGAGGCAAAGTAGTGTATCCATACTGATTAAAACTAGTTGAGAAGTGCCGGAAATTATGTTTAATAACAGCAATCCGAGCTTTCTCATTTGCGCCCATAGAAGCCGTAAACACTCCCAAACTGAAATTCTTTTATGAAGGTAACTGATACTTTAAAGTGTATTTATGTCTATAGGCATTTTTACCATTCCCGTAAACCCACCAGAAATGTCCAAAAAATGAAGTATCATCAAAATGTACCTTATTTTTCATTTTATGAGAACAAGTTTTATGAACAATATCCACGAATTTTCCAGGACATGTAACTCAAATGTAACTGGTATGGAGGGAGGGAGGGGGTAAAAGAATACGACATGCATGGAGAGACAGAGAGACAGAGAGACAGACAGACAGACAGACAGACAGACAGACAGACAGACAAACAAACAGATAGACACGGGTAAGGGGGACAGTTAGGGAGGGAAAGAGGGGGTGACATCATCATTATCACTGTCGTCAAAGTCGTCTGCATTGTTCCTATCATTCCTAAGTGGCGCAGTGAGCTGCAAGCTGACATGCTTACTTAAACCTAAAGTATACGGTACAGTTCAAAATAATCTTGTTGTAGTAGCCCGACACCTCAGTGTGAGAGATCGATGCTGTAGGGAAGTAATTGTCTCAGGAGTCACGACCCACTCATCACTCACCTCTATAGTCATGTAATTAACTGCCTGTTTGTGGGTAGGTGTGTGTGTGTGTGTGTGTGTGTGTGTGTGTGTGTGTGTGTGTGTGTGTGTGTGTGTGTGTGTGTGCGTGTGT